TCCTCCAACACAACAGATAACCCTAGGGACACGCATGGAGGTTGGCCCCCATCCACGGTGTCGAGCGGCACTGGGCATCCCTGGCAGACGGCCGAGGCGCGGCGACGGCATCCCGGCGGCTGCCTCCGCGAAGTCCCCGCCGTGGACGCTGCACAGGAGCTGCTGTCCGCGAGGGAGGGGGAGGGGGTTGATTGCTTTTATTTTTAAGATCTAAGAGTGTACATGTAAATGTTTTGCCAAGTCAGCTTCCGACAATTTGGCCCCACTTGTCAGAAAGTGATCAAACGATTTAAATCACTCGATCAGTGTTTTTTGCAAAAGGTTTACTAAATCTGTGGTGTTTCTTGCAAAAAATTAGTGACCTCGTCGTTTTCTGCAAACGATGCCCCAAATGTGGTGGTTTTCTGCAATTAACTCCTCTGTTCTGGAAGTAGATAAATCTAAGAGTCATTGGGTTCATGTCCAAATACCATATCGATGCTGAAATCACGGAGGAAGATGGATTTAAGTGGCGGTTTACTGGAGTGTATGGGGAATCGAAAATGGATGAGAATGAGAAAACGTGGAGGCTGCTAAGAAATCTGGAACACCAAAATGCTAAGCCATGAATCTGCGCGGGGGACTTCAACGGAATTCTTCATGGATGGGAGAAGGAGGGTGGAGCACCTAGAAGCCAGAGGTATATGGACCGTTTCAAGGCTGCACTGGAGCTGGGGGATCTCGGGTTCACGGGTGATGTCTTCACATGGAGAAACAATAGTCATACAACCAAAGATTACACAAGGGAGAGATTAGATAGGGCTGTGGCTACCCAATCATGGTGCCAACGGTTCACAGCCTACTGGGTAAACAACGACGATCCTCGACACTCAGACCATAGGCCTATAATCATTGATACAACAGGGGCAGCAGCTGTGAGAAGAGGGCCGGGTCAGTTTTGTTCACGAAGATTTGAAGCAGGCTGGGTCGAGGAGGAGGGGTTCTGGGAGATTGTGCTGAATACATGGGGGAGGGAAAGAAGTGTAGAGGGCAATGAGGTGGCGGGCGTAGTGAGGGGAGTGATGAAGGAGCTTTTTGACTGGAGCAAAAACATCCTTGGAGACCTAGAGAAGTGTATCCACCGAACAAAAAAGGAACTCGAGGAGGTTAGAAGGAAGAACATAAGTGAAGATCAAGTCCGGCGAGAGCATATGTTGCGGTTCAAGCTAAGCCGCTTGGAGGAACAACTGGAAACTTATTGGAAACAACGGGCACATGTTAATTGGATGAAAGGAGGGGACCGAAATACCAAGTTTTTCCATGCAGCGGCTTCAGAGATAAGAAGGAAGAATAGAATTAGGAGGCTTAGGAAGGAGGATGGCGGGGTGGTAGAGAGGGAGGAAGAGATGAAGGAAGAAGTTACTAACTATTTTTAAAAGCTCTTTACCTCCCATGCAGGAAATCGCCACCCTGGCTTGTGTGCACCCGCGCGTCACCCCAGCCATGAATGATCTTCTTCAGAGAGAGTATGCACGGGAGGAGGTTTTTGAGGCATTGATGAGCATTGGAGATCTGAAAGCGCCTGGTCCGGACGGCATGCCTTCGGTCTTCTATAAGAGATGTTGGGACATTGTTGGAGACGATGTTGTGACCGAGGTTCTGGCTGTGTTGAATGGTGGACCTATGCCAGATGGGTGGAATGAGACGTATGTGGTGCTGATCCCCAAAGTTAAAAGCCCAGAGAGTATGAAGGATCTTCGACCGATTAGCCTTTGCAATGTTGTCTACAAGTTGGTCTCAAAGGTTCTTGCAAATAGGTTGAAGCAAATCCTTCCAGAAATCATATCACCGAACCAGAGTGCCTTCGTTCCTGGTAGAATGATCAGGATAATATCTTACTAGCCTACGAGTGCACCCACTATATGAAGAATAAAAGGGGAGGTAAATATGGCCATGTTGCGGTTAAGCTTGATATGAGTAAAGCATATGATCGGATTGAGTGGCTCTTTCTTGAGAAGATGATGCACAAGTTGGGGTTTAATGATCAGTGGATTGAGAGGATCATGTTGTGTGTCAAGTCAGTCTCATACAAGATCAAAGTCAATGGGGAGTGCACTGACACAATCATCCCACAAAGAGGGTTGAGGCAGGGGGACCCCCTTCCCCATATCTCTTCCTGATTTGTGCTGAGGGGTTCTCCTCTCTGTTGAATGCCGCGGAAGTGGATGGATCCTTGAGTGGGATCCGAATTTGCAATGCAGTCCTGAGATTTAACCATCTATTGTTTGCAGATGACTCACTAGTACTTATTAAAGCTTCGCGTGAGAGTGCTACGTCACTGCAAAATTTGCTACAACTATATGAGGTGTGCTCGGGTCAGGTTGTGAATTATGAGAAGTCGTCTATAATGTTCAGCAAGAACACTAGGCAGGTGAAAAGAAATGAGGTTCTGCATACATTGCACATACGAGCTGAGGCAAGAACAGAAAAATATTTAGGACTACCCGTTTATGTGGGATAAGCGAGAAAACAGACTTTTGAATATTTAAAGGGG